CCCTCAGGGGCAAGAAGCATGGACACGAGATGAGGTGAAGTAGCAACAAAGCACTGGAACTCCTCTTGCCTGTCCTCAAGGACGTCCATGCTAAGAGCACACTCACCCCCAACGGACGGAGGACAGACATACTCAGACACAGCAACGAGACTAGTGGCATAGTCTAGACGACAGCGAGCAGCAAAGTCGACAAGCTCAGCAACTAAGGCAGACGCAGCAGTGGACTCAAAGGAAGGGTCAGTGACAACAGTGGCCAGGAGACGCGTGACAGTAGGACTTGCAGCACGAAGAGAGTCAGACTCCGGGTCAGCAAGAACAGGAAGAGAGGACTCTGGAGGAGACGGCAACGGGACACGCAGGCAACGCAGGACGAGGCGCAGGCTCACGACGCTCAGCAAGGCCTCAAGTAGGACCAGTGTAGGGAGAAGGAGCAGGCAGTGGGGAGGTAGGCTACAACTCTGACTCAGACTGGACAGGTGGCGGACACTCTAAGAGAGGAGCAGGACGAAGAACCTGCTCAAGGAGCGGAACGAAGTACGGCCGCGGCCGTGCAGCGCCCCCAGAACCAGCAGGAACAGCACCAGCACCCCCAACGGTAGCACCAGCACCAGTAGTACCCCCAGCTCCAACAACGCCAACTCCAACACCTCCAGCACCCTCAAAAGCCCCAGCGCGAGAAGCACCCCCAGCGTCAACACCCCCTGTAGCTCTAGCTCTAACCGGACCACCAGAAGACGCAGCAGCTCCAGCTCCAGCAGTACCAGCAGCACCACCAGCAGCACCCACGCCGACAGCACCACCAGCTCCAGCTCCAGCAGCACCAGCAGGCCCAGCAGCTCCAGTACCCGCAGGACGAGCACCTCCGGGACCCGCGGCACCAGCCCCCTCAGCAGTAGTAGAACCTCCAGCACCAGCAGTACCTCCAGCTCCAGCAGCACGGCTCCAGCACCGAGCAAACCACTCGCGCAGCTCCTGTGGAGAGAGGAGCTCCCGCCGAGACGAAGCACCCGAAGGACCTCCAGGCTCAGTCCCGCTAGTCGCCACACGAGCAGGCTCAGTACCCCCAGGCTCCGCACCCCCAGGCTCAGCACCCCCACGCTCAGCACCCCCAATCTCAGCACCCCCAGAGTCAGCACCCCCAGAGTCAGCACCTCCAAACCCCGCACCCGCAGGCTCAGCACCCTTAGCAGCACCAGAGTCGACAGCTACCTCGACAGGCACGACCGCGTCTACCTGGGACACACCTGAGGGGGCAGGACCCTGAGGGTGGAGGGGGTCTACCAGGGGTGGACCTGGCGCGAGGAAGAGCGGCGGCGGGGGGAGGGACGCAGTGCGGTCGGGGAAGAGACGGTAGTAGGGAACCGACTCGTCAAACGTGACGTCCTGAGAGGACAGAACACGGCGCGAGGTAGGGTGGTAAAACTGCCAACCTTGCGTGTCAGGGGGGAAGCCAAGGAAGACGCAGGAAACAGCACGGGGGGACAGCTTGTCCGCAGACAAATCGCGGACAAACGCCCTAGATCCCCAGACACGAAACGCAGACGCATCGCCAACCTTCCCCGTCCACCGCAGAGCAGGGGAGGTCTCCGGCATGGAGACCCGGGGCTCAAGGTTGATCTGATGCGCCGCGTACTAAACCGCGAACGGCCACAGAAAATGGGGAGCAGCCGCATGGATCATGGACGTACGAGCGACGTCCATGACCATGCCAATGCGGCGCTCAGCAATCCCATTTTGCTGTGGAGAGGCCGGAAGCGTGAACGTCTGGCGGATGCCTCGTGCACGTCAGAAGGCTCGCAGAAGGTCAGAGGAGAACTCTCCGCCTCTGTCGGAGTGCAGACGCAGAACAAGAAAGTCCGAGCCGAAACTCTCTCTGAGCTGAAGACGAGCTGCGCGGATCCAGTCGATCAACACCGCAGTGACCTCACCCTTGCTGCTCAAGGGGAAGACTGTGGTGTAACGCGAGTAGTCGTCAACCACCAGCAGGAAGTAACGCTCGTGACCCTGGCCACGGACGCGGGCTGGGCCCCACACGTCCATGTGCAGCGTCTGCAGCGGAGCCTCTGGCGGAGGAAACTCGGAGGAGTGAGGAGCAGCGCGCTGCCGCCCTTCGACGCAGGGGACGCAGGTAGGGGCAGGCCCCGGAGGAAGAGGAGGGAGGGACCGGGGGAGACCAGAGACAAGGACACGGGAGGCCATGCCTCGGAGACGAGGCAGGGAGGGGTGACCAAGGCGGTGGTGCCAGAGGAGAGTCTGGTGAGACAGGAGACGACACGAGCAGGGGGCAGACTCAGGACCAGACCTGGACGTTGCAGCAGACACCTGACCCGACGCAGCTACATGACCAGACGCAACAACCTGAGGAGCACCAGTAGTCAGTGTGTACAGGCTCGACCCCGGACGACGGGTAAACGTGGCCAAGTGTCAGCCCATTCAAACACACGTGCAGTGGGTCACTCGCTGACTCGCAGGAGTGAACTGATGAACCCCCCCATCCTGTAGATCAGCATCACTAACCAAGTTCGTAGAGAACGAGGGGAGGTAAAGACCTGACAGGGTGCCAGAGGTGGCCGCCGGGCACGGTAAGACAGTGGAGAAGTGGGCAAGGACAGGACCCCCAGAGGGGTCTGCCAGGGAGACCGCATCTGGGACTAAGCGGCGTGAGTGTGGTGCGGTCTCGAAAGAAGGAGCGGGAAGCACCCGAGTCAAGGGTGAAGGTGTGGGAGGCCTGAGCCGACGTGGTACCTGAGAGAGCAGACTCACCAGTACCTGGAGCAGCGGACTCACTGTCGGAACCTCCCCACCTTCCCTGCTGCTTGTTCTGTCAGACTCCAGTCCTCGCTGCTCTCTCCTCCCTTATCTCCCCGGATTGGCTCGTTGGATCTCACCCCTTTGGCTCCCCCCCTTTTACCAGGAACCTCTCTTGCCCTCGTCAGTCTTACCGATTGTCCTCCTGGTGTGGCCTCTGCCTGCACACTCTCTTCCCCTCTCCCTTTTCGAATGGTTCTGCTTCTGGTACTGAACTCACTCTTGCCCCCTCCCAGGACCAGCTGCTGCCGTCCTCGCCCTGGTCATGGGACCAGAGTACTGCTGCACGCCCTTCGCTTGCCCGGCCAAGGCCACATTAGTCACGTGGTCCATCACCTGCTTCCCATTCTCTCCCTTTAGCACCAGTACCCCTGAGTCTCGCACCTCCTTCACTGTCCACCTTTGATGCGACACTCCCAGGTCCAGCCCATCCCGCTTTGCTCGCCTGACATACACTTCTCCTCCCTCCTCCACAGCCGGGCCTCGGCCTTGCATCCTTGCCAGCTGCCGCTGCTTGTAGCGGTGAATGTCTCGCAGCTGCGCCACCTTCAAGCTCTCCAGTGCGGCAGGCAGCATCTTCCGGAGGTACACCGCCCGCGCATCCGCCAGTGCCACACACTTCTCTACTTTTCCTGCCAACACGCTGTCCGTGAGCACTTTGGGAGCTCCTACCGGCAGAATTGGATGCTTCCCAAAGAGCAAATAGTAGGGAGAGACATCCTTGAGTGCTGCTTGCTTGCTAAACCTGTAGCCTGCCATTACCCACGCCAGCTTCTTGTCCCAGTCCCCCTTATGCACCTCCCCATACACCCGCAGGCCTCTCTTCACTGTCTGCACCAGCCGCTTTGTCAGTCCGTCGGCCTGTGGATGATACCTTGAGGTTGTGCGGTGTTGAATCCCGCTGGACACCAACAGCTCCTTGAACTCTCCCTCAAACTCCGCCCCTTCATCTTTAAGCACCTCCCCGCATGCCCCGAACCGTGTGATCACCATTTCCTCAAATGCTTCTGCCACTGCTCAACCATGAGCACTATATACTTCCCCCCCCTTCTTGACACTGGTAGCTCCCCTGCAATATCCAAGTACCAGCGATACCCGAGCTCCACTATAGTCAATGGCTGCAGCTCCGCCTGGCTCCTCAGCAGCGTGGCCTTGTTCCTGCAGCACAGCTCACACTTCTCTACCCACTCCTTCACTTCTTTCCTCATTCCCGCCCACCACCACCCCGTCTGCAGCAGCTAGATCGTGCGCAACGGTCCGTAGTGGCCAAGCTTCTCGTGCACTTCCTTGATTATAGCCTCTCGTGCTGCTGGCTCCGGTACTCGCTTCCACCCATCCTTGGTCTGCAGCTGTACCTGCCCCTGGTACCACCTGTAGTGTTGCCCCCTAGCCCTCGCCTTGCTGTCAAGTCCACCATCCTCTGCTGTCTCTCCCTTGATCCATGCCAGCGTCATTGCGTCCTGCCACACATCTGCCACTCCTCTCTCCTGCTCCCCACCTGCCCCCTTTTCCTTGACCATGACAGTTAGCGCTGCCACCGGCTGCCCCCTTGCTGTGTCTCCATTCTCTCCGTCCTCCTACTCCCTTGGTGGGTTTCTTGAGAGCCCATCCACGTGCTGCATGGTTCGGCCCGGGCGGTGCTTCACTGTGAAATCGTATTCCTGTAATTTCATCGCCCATCGCGCGTTCCGCTCTGTGAGAATCTGGTTCTGCATCAGCCACAGCAAGGGCTGGTGATCCGTCACCAGAGTAAAGTGCCTTCCCTGTAGGTACACTCGAAAGTGTCCCACTGCCCAAATTGCCGCTAGCCCCTCTCCCTCATATGACGAGTAGTTGTCCTCCGCCGGATTACAGGTTCTGCTCGCGAATGCGACTACCTTCTCCTATCCTTCTTCCAGCTGGCTCAGCACCACCCCCATGCCTACGCTGCTCCAATCCGTGTAGAGCACGAAAGGCGCCTTCACACAACACACTCTGCGAATCGCTTTATTCCATCCTTTTCCACACTACTTGCTCGAGTAGGTGCAAGAATATCGTGTTCAAAGGAAACATACAAGCATTGAGGATAGCTACCACAAGGTACCTCCTATCTACCAGATCAGCCTCAGCCTCACTCATCCTGCCTACCCTTGCCTGTCCGCAGAGGATAACACGACTTTGGCACAGACTAGCAACCACCCTGCCAACTGCCTCTACTGCCCGCCTCCTGCTTCTTTCCCTCCAGCTGCCACTGTGCTGTTCCAGCTGGCTCCTTGGAGCACACCTGCACTCATACGAAAGCAAATACACATGCATGCGAGCACCCATCCGAGCTGATGAGGTAACCTGCTGGCCCTACCGCTGCCAAGCGCTGTAGTTTCAACCCTTGCCCCCTCCCACTTACGTAAGTCCCGCCCTGTTTGCTCCCCATGCCTTTCCCCAACCTTTCGCTTCGGCAGACGTCACCTTCCCGCGCACTCACTTGTCTCCCCGCAAACCTCAATCCTCACCTTGACCCTTCGCATCCCATCCTCGGCACTGCCCTCCCTGCTATCTACAGTATATACAGTTTGTACACTTCCCGATCTCTCCTCGCTATCCCACTCACATTCACATAAATGTGACATCACTAGCACGAAGAGCAGCAGCCTCACCAGCACCTAGAGCAGCAGCCTCACCAGCACCTAGAGTAGCAGTCCCAATGCCCGGGTCAGGCAGAACACACAGGTAACAGTCACCCTCATCACTAGTAGAAACAGCATACATGGCAGCAAGGATAGCATCAAAATCCAGATCAAAGATAGCAACCCCCGCCCTAGACAGCTCTCCCCAGCGAGGGATTTCAGTGGCGTCAGGAAACTGGTGACGCCAAGCGTCCGTCAGGCGGCCGAAGCAGCGCTGGGTGGAGTGCGCGCCCCCGCACTGCTCACCAGTGCGGTCGCCGGTGCGAAGGACGTAGGTACAGGGACGAGTACCTCCACCCCGCTGACGCGCAGCGTACCACTCACGAAGCTGCTGGGGGGTCGGGGTCTCACGAGTGCGCTGCTGCTGCTGACGCTGACCACCACCGGAGCCACCCCTCTGCGCAGAGCCGCGACCAGCTCCACCGCTGCCGCCACCACCTCCGCCGCCTCCGCTGCCTCCACCTCCTCTCCTCCCACCGCCACCACCGCCGCCTCCTCCGCCTCCACTGCCGCCACCGACGCCCCCACCCCCACCACCACTCCCACCACCACCCCCACCCCCTCCACCGCCTCCACCGCCACCTCCACCGCCCCCGCCAGCTCCTCCAGCGCCCTTGCCCCCCTTGCCCTTGCCGGTGCGGCGTCTCCCGCTAGGGGCAGACGCAACTCCGACCGACTCGAGGCCAACAAGGTCGGCCGCAGCAGCAGAGGCAACAGAGGGCAAGAGGCGGGAGGGGGAACACCCCTCAAAGACGGGGGTGTGAGGGTCACCACGAGAGGCTCCTACAGCGACTATACTCTTCTCTGCTGCCAGGAGGCGCTCCTCGAGGAGGTCTACGGTGAGTATGGTGGGGCAAACTGAGAGGAAGTGGTCCCTAACTAAGCGAAGGGAGTCGGGGAGCCGGGTGACTATGTAGTAGAGGGTGATGTACATGGGGGGGGTTTTCTTGGCGCAGAACTCAGCAGGAAGCGCAGCGCGGTAGCGAGTGTCACTAGTGCGAAGGTGCGTAATGAGGTCAGCGACTGTGGGAAAGGCAGCGAGGTTAGGGAACAGGTACGGCAGTATGAGGCGGCTAAGAGCAGCAATGGCAGGGGACGAGTAGCGTGCAACTACAGCGTCGTACAAGGTCTTAGCACTCTTGTACTGACTAAAGTGCGCATCCTCAGCGGTCGGTAAGTGGTGACGCACAGCAAGACGGGCAGCAGCATTGCGTGTGGCCGACTGTGAGCGAACAGTGCTGTCAGCATCAGCAGGCGGGGTAGGAGAGGCACCAGACGTGAGATCGAAAAGGGAGAGACCGTCTGCCCTATCGCACTGTAGGAAAAGCTGCAAGTCATTGACCCAGACCTCAAAGTCAACAGCCCGACCCTCAGCATCAAAGGTAAGGACACTGGGGGTAGCCATGACAGCAGGAGTCTAGTGGTGAGAGCGGCAGGCTAGAGGTAGTGCAATGGCAGAGACGCTGCTCGGGAAAGCTCTCACCAGTCCGGGTGGGGAGGGCCGGGGCGCGCCGGCAGGAACAGGGCCGCAACTGCGGCGGCGGCGGCTCGGCGGCTCAGCAGCGGCTCGGCGGCTCGGCGGCAGCTCGGCGGCTCGGCGGCTTCTCGGTGGCAGCTCGGCGGCTCGGCGGCTCGGCTGCAGCGGCGGCGGCTCAGCGACGGCGGCGCCAGGGCCGGGGAGGGGCCGTACAGAGCGGCGAAGGGCGGCTATAGGGCGGCGACGGGGCCGCAAGAGGGCGGCGTTGGGGTCGCTGGAGGGCGGCGACGGGGCCGCTGAAGGGCGACGACGGGGCCGCTGGAGGGCGGCGGCGGGGCCGCTGGAGGGCTGCGACGGGGCCGCGGTAGGGCGGCGACGGGGCCGCGGTAGGGCGGTGGCGGGGCCGCTAGAGGGCGGCGACGGGGCCGCGGTAGGGCGGCGACGGGGCCGCGGTAGGGCGGCGACGGGGTTGCTGAAGGGCGGCGGCGGGGCCGCTAGAGGGCGGTGACGGGGCCGCGGTAGGGCGGCGACGGGGCCGCTGAAGGGCGGCGGAGCGGCCACTAGAGGGCGGCGACGGGGCCGCGGTAGGGCGGCGACGGGGCCGCTGAAGGGCGGCGGCGGGGCCGCTAGAGGGCGGCGACGGGGCCGTTTGGAGGGCGGTGACGGGGCCGCGAAAGGGCGGCGACGCGGCCGCGAAGGGCGGCGGGTGGGTCGCCAAGGCGGCGACGGGGCCGCGAGAGGGTGGCCGGGCCGCAAGGGGCGGCGACGGGGCCGCGAAGGGTGGCGACGGGGCCGTGAGGGGGGGGGGCGTGAGAGGGGCCGCTAAGGGCGGCGCAACGGGCCGCTAAGGGGAGGGCGGCCCACAGGGTGCGCCTCGGTCAGGGGCGACTCGATCTCAGGGCAGAAAAGAAAAAATTAGTGGTGGGCCCAAGGAAAAGTTCCCACTAGGGAACGTGCTCTATACCATGTGAAGAAATGAGGAATGGATGAACTAGGAAATGAGTTGGGTACAAATATGCAACCCTAGAATGCTTTACCCCATACTATCTACCCCACTACAGCCTAGAAAGACTCGACTCATAGTAAGATGACCAGCGCCTAAAATTCATTTATTTTCGTCGCAAATCTTCTTATAAATCGCCAAATGGTTGAAAACGGTGATAATTCCGTACGGAAAATTACGGAGTTACACACCGGTCTGGACCAGACGCGAGCGGCACTCCTGCGAATTGAGGAGCTTCTCGCGAACCAGTCGGCAGCTGCCACGGCAGCAACAAACGCAGCGGCGAATGCAGCAGCAACGTCAGCAGCAGCAGCGGCGACACCAACACTTCACCCAGCAGCAGCGGCAGCAGCTACAGTGAATCTTGAGGCGGCACGTCCGAGGCTACCGGAGACGTTCAATCCGAATGCGAGAGACACTGACGTTCGTCGATTCATTGCGACTCTCGAAATTTACTTCGAGGCCGTTGGCTGTACGACCCCGACACACGATGCAATGCGGATTCGGCTCGCAACGACACTGTTACGAGGCCCAGCGCTCGAGTGGATTTACAATAGCAACGAGGTCCAAGGCGAGGGGTCATGGACGCAGCTTTGGGAAGCTTTAATTCAACGTTTCGAACCAATCAACTCCAGCTACATGGCGCGGCAGCAGATTCATCGGCATGAACAGTTCGGCAGTGTAACACAGTACACGCAGCAGATGGAGAGCCTCTTCAACCGAATTACCGACCTGACCGAAGGGGAAAAAATCCAAGCGTATACTGAGGGGCTAAAAAAAGAAGTCTGGCGACAGGTGACTGCCGCGAACTACAACAACTACTGCGACATGGTGTGTGCAGCAGAGAGATTCGATGCGTTGATGCGAGATCAACCCGGAACACGACGACGCGTGCCGAACAGATCATTCGGCACGAAGCGATCGGCACCACCCACGACCGCCGACCCGATGGATATCGACAAGATCGACGCGAAGCAGCGGCCGACAAAATAGGAGACGTGCGAATTTTGCGGCGCAGCAGGACATCGACTCTTGGCGTGTTGGAAAATGAAGAAGGCACGAGCGGAGCTGCAGGGCAACAACAGTGCGACATCCAGGATGGCGAAAAAGGAGGACACGATGGCGCAAATTTAAAACGCCACGACCGGCCGGCAACAGGGGAAATCGCCGAGACAAATGGAGGCTCCGCGAAACAAGACTCTGCACCGACCGGGAAACTCCAGCCGAACACCCCCGAGAGTAAGAATATTTCCTCTCGAGGTTTTCAAGCCTTTAAAAAATCCAGGGGATATTTCGAGGCCAAGAAAAAGCCTTCAGACATTATTCAGGTGCCTAAGAAGTTGGGTAAACCACTCTGGAACGTTGAAAAGGGTCGTGCGTTCCAATGAGTTAATATTCTCTCCCCGCAGCACAGTGTTAAGGCTCCCAATTGCCCTCAGGTGAAGCCTACACAGCTGCAAAGGCTTAAGGGAAGGTTCCAGGCCAAGACGAAGCTGAATCAGCCTCGGATAAATCCTTCTAACCCTGCTCAGTTGGAAACTGATATGGAGTCAGCAGCTTCGAGCGCAGGACCGAGGGATGATCTATTTGACGTACCCTACGATCCTATAAGCGAGACCATCTACGGTTACTCGGAGTAGCAAAAACCACTACTACTCGAGGTGATCTGCAATGGGCGCAATGGGCGACGCCTCCAGGCAATGGTGGACAGTGGTGCGTCCCACTCGGTGTGCGACCGCGGGACGTTGGAGAAAATTGGACAATTTTCGGAGGAGACCAAGTTCTTGGCAACAATGTTGGACGGTACGAAAATTCCCATCCACGGCGAAACATCACTGCAGCTGCACATAGGGGCGCTGAGGTGGAAGCCGACGTTGCCGATCACGAACATCAAGGGCTTAGATTTCATCTTGGGGCGAGATTTCTTGAAGCGGTTCAACCCCGAGATCGACTGGGTCAACAGGAAGGCGTGCATCTACAACAACGGGAAACGAGTGGAGCTGCGAAGCTGGACGGATACAGGGAGCGTTCCTGAAACGACACTGGCACGGTTCGAACGGACTGTGAACGAGAGTAACACGGGATACTTAGCACTGGTTATGGCAGCAGCAGAGGAGGAGAAGCCGAGTTCCGAGCTACCTGCAGCAGTAAAGGAGGTGCTGGAGCAGTACAAGGATATAATGCCTGACAACCTACCCGCAGGCGTACCTCCAGCACGCACCCACGAGCACGAGATCGTGGAGGAACCAGGTGCGAAACCCGTCTCACATGCACCATACCAACTGAGTCCGACCGAGCTGACAGACATGAAGAAACAGATAGAGTATCTACTGGACATACAACTAATCCGCCCATCCACCTCTCCCTATGGTGCACCAGTCCTCTTCACTCCAAAACCAGACTGCAGGTTACGGATGTGCATCGACTACCGCGCACTGAACAAACAGACAATCAAAAACAAATATGCATAGACAACCTACTCGATCAACTGCGTGGAGCAACAGTATTCTCGAAGCTGGACCTACGATCGGGTTACTGGCAGATCAAGATGGCAGACAACTCGGTCCACAAGATGGCGTTCCGTACCAGATACGGCTCCTACGAATACTTTGTGATGCCGTTCGGACTCTGCAATGCACCAGCAACGTTTCAGGCGGAGATGAATCACATCTTACGACCCCTACTGGACGAGTGCGTAGTGGTGTACCTGGACGACATTCTTAACTACTCCAAGAACATGAAGGAGCACGTGGAGAATCTGCGGAAGGTGTTCGAGATCCTGCGGAAAAACAAGTTCTACGTGAAGCTGTCGAAGAGCGACTTCGCCCTGAAGAAGGTGCAGTTTCTCGGGCACATGGTGAGTGCCGAGGGCGTACACGTGGACCCGCGGAAGATCGAAGCCGTCAAGAAGTGGAAAGTACCGGAGAACGTCAAGGAGTTGCAGCAGTTCCTAGGCTTCGCCAACTACTACAACAGGTTTGTGCCGCAGTACGCAAAGATAACAGCGCCACTGACCGACCTACTGAAAAAGGATACGCCCTTCAAATGGGATACTCCTTATCAGCAAGCCATGGAACAGCTACAGACAGCACTGACCACAGCCCCGGTACTCATCTTGCCGGATCCAGACAAGGACTACGTGGTGGAAGCAGACGCTAGTGACCAAGCAGTCGGAGCAGTATTGATGCAGGATCACGGACGCGGTTTGCAGCCCATCGCCTACCTCAGTAAGAAGCTACACGGAGCAGAACTGAACTACCCCATCCATGACAAGGAAGCCTTAGCGATAGTCATAGCCTTCAAGACGTGGAGGTGTTACCTAGAGGGAGCCAAGACTACAGTCTATACTGACCACTGCAGTCTCAAATACCTGAAGTCGCAGCCGGCGCTCTCACGACGACAGGTGCGGTAAGTGGACTTCCTGGAAACTCACTTCCACTACGACATCGTCTACAAGCCCGGGCTATACAACAAGGCAGACGCGTTGAGCCGCCCCGGACATGGAGCAGGCATCCAGCTCGACGGGATGAATCCTCTGCTCAAGGGTCTATTCCAACATGGGTACTCCGTGGACGCAGAAATTGCTACAGCACAGACCAAGAAGCTGTTACAGTGGGAGAAAGACTTAGCTGTAAGGAAGGGTTCAGGAAAGATTTGGGTACCGAATTACGCCCCGCTACGGCAGATCCTATTGGAGGAGTTTCACGACGTACCTTACGCGGGACATTTTGGGAGCAGCAAGACGTTAGCACGGATAGCGAAGTATTACTACTGGCCTGGGATGGCAGCAGACGTGCAGCAGTTCGTCACCTCATGCGACACGTGCCAGCGGATGAAGAGCAGCAAGCAGAAAAAAGCAGGGTTACTTCAGCCTCTACCCGTACCGGAGCAGCCATGGCAAGTCGTTAGCCTCGACTTTATCACA